CCCCCCCACACCTCCCCCGCACCCCGCAGGTCCAGCCGTCCCACGGCCCCGTCCTCGTGACTGGCGCCGCAGGCGGCCTCGGCCAGGTCTGCTCCAGACTGCTCCAGGCTGCCCGAGATCACCCGAGTTCACCCGAGACTGGCCGAGATTCCTCGAGATTAGCCGAGATCGCCCGAGATCACCCATTATCGCCCGAGATTACTCGAGATCACCCGAGATTCGGCCTCGGCCAGGTCGCCGTCGCCCTGCTGCACGCGCGAGGCTTCGAAGTGGTGGCGAGCGGGGGCAGCTAGATGCGGGAGATCTGGGGGAGATCTGGCGAGATCCGGCGAGATCTCTCAGCAGATCCGGCGAGATCTTGCAGCAGATCCGGCGAGATCCGGCGAGATCCGGCGAGATCCGGCGAGCGCGGGCAGCTAGACGTACTGAGGCGCTCGGGCAATCTAGGGAAAACCTCGTGACATCTCGGGACATCTCGGGACATCTCTGGCCATCTCGGATCACCTCGAGTTATCTCGGGTCACCTCGAGTCATCTCGCGTCATCTCGGGTCATCTCGGTTCATATCTCGGTTCATCTCGGTTCATCTCAGGCACGGGTCGTGCGGAGGCGCTTGGAGATCACTTGCGCGCCCTCGGCGCCAGCGACGTGGTCGGCCGGTTGCAGCCCGAGCCGAAGCCGCTCGGGAAGCAGCTGTGGGCTCGCGCGCCGTAGAAGCAGACCTAGTCTGACCGGCGCTCGGGAGATCTGGGGAGATCTGGGGAGATCTGGGGAGGTCTGGGGAGGTCTGGGGAGATCTGGGGAGATCTGGGGAGATCTGGGGAGATCTGGGGAGGTCTGGGGAGATCTGGGGAGGTCTGTGGAGGTCTGTGGAGGTATGGCGTCGCCCGCAGCTGCCCCAGCTCACCTAGCAGCAGTGAGGAGGAGAGCGCATGGGCCCGGAAGGCCCGGAAGGCTCGGGTCGGGCCAGGGGTGCTACCCTCAAGACGACACGTCACGGGCGCGCCTCGGCGAGGCATCGCACCCCTCCACGCGGTGTGGAGCTCGCGGCAGCTCTCGGCCTCGGCGGACGGGTCTCGGCTCACCTCTCGGGCGCGATCTCGGCTGATCTCGGCTGATCTCGGCTGATCTCGTCTGATCTCGGCTGATCTCGGCTGATCTCTCGGGCGCGATCTCGGCTGATCTCGGCTGATTTCGGCTGATCTCGGCTGCCTCGG